CATACACTTTGTCTCATTAGCATGCAAACTCCAAAGAAAAACAGTGATCAAATTGCTAGGTGGCTAAATCTGCATGTAGTTATCTAGCCCTCGAGTTTAAGTCTAACCTAATTTCCTAACTATTTCCGAATGGAACCTTGCACAGAACATTGTCTGGCTATGCAAACTTTATTTGTAACTTTGTTATGAGAGATAAAACATTTCTTTTTCTTTATTCAGAAAAATTTCACCATAGGTGCTATGAGAAAGGGAGTATGCTGGGTTCACTGAGAGGCCCTAGAAGCAGGTACACCATGGTCCTTGCCTTCAAAATGTCTTATCACTCAAGAAATTACTTTTTACATTTCTCTAGATCTCAGTTGTCTATGTAATGCATACAGTTTGAGAATTGGATTACACACTTTTGAGGTGACTTCATCTTCTTTTCTTTTTTATTTTTCGAGACAGTCTTGCTCTGTTGCCCAGGCTGGAGTGAAGGGGCATAATCATAGCTCACTATAACCTCACACTCCTAGGCTCAAGCAATCCTCCTGCTTTGGCCTACTGAAGCTCTGGGATGACAGGCATGAGCTAAGGTCATTTCTATGACTCTAGAGCTCTTGCATCACACATACACTCCACAGAGCACAAAGCTAATGTGAAAGGTTATTGGCAAAATCATTTAATGAGGCAGGAGATGGCTGGAGGCCAGGCGTTCAAGGCTGTAGTGAGCTGTGATCTTGACACTGCACTCCAGCCTGGGTGTCAGAGTGAGACCCTGTCTCAAACAATAAATAAATAAATAAATCATTTAATGATGTATTTTGAATGGCATTGTGTTAGATGCCAATCAAAACATGTTAAATCACCAGAAATTCTGTCTTTTGAAAGCTGCAAGTCTCCTGATAACTACCTAAAAATACCACACTGTGCCCCTATCTGTCCCTCACATGACTGACCTCTGCACCCACCCATAGATTGTTGCTTTCCTAAGGTGGAGCCTCTCCTGACAACATGTATCCATCTTCCCCTCCTCTAGGCTCATTCAGCACTCCATCTTCACTAAATTCAGTTTCTTTGGCAGTTGCAAGCCTATCGCCTTGCATTATTAATATAAAATTAAGTATAATATGCTATTATGGAACAAATGGAATGGAATGGAAATGCTATGGAAATACTGAGGTGGAAGGATTAATTTGAATTAGGAGGACCAGAAAGCATCAGGGAAGAGACAATTTTTGAGTCTAATTGTTTTCAAGGGCAGAATCTGGTAAAGGAGTTTAGGTTTGGTGGTGGTGAAAAGCAATAATTGATGATGATGGTAAACTTTCAAGCTGGTCAATGAAATATGTTAAATAAATGAACTTCCAACTGGGGTAACTGAGTAATATGAATGCCATTTCCAACATAATACTAAAGTAACTTGTGAAATTGGGAAAGATGTTGAACTTGCTTTTAGATACTTTTTTTTTTTTTTTTTTTGAGATTAGGGTCTTGCTCTGTTGCCCAGGCTGGAGTGCAGTGGTGCAGTCATAGCTACAGCCTCAGTGATCCTCCTGCCTCAGCCTCCCAAGTAGCTGGAACCACAGGGTGCATACCACCATGTGCAGCTAATTTAAAACATTTTTTTGTATAGATGAGATCCCACTATTATATCCAGGCTACTCTTGAACTCCTGGGCTCAAGTGATTCTCCTACCTTGGCCTCCCAAAGTGCTGGGATTTACAGGCATGAGCCACTGCACCCAGCCAGTTTTAGACACTTTCAAAAGATGCCTATGGACAAATGATGTCCAAATGTGCAACCAGGCACTTCTCGGATGTCAGAGGAGTGTTCATGAGTTATTTGCAGGCACTCTACATTTTCTGTTGCGTTGTCTGGCTTACAAAGGGCTTTCATGGCCATTATCTACTGTTGATTTTGACTCTAACAAATATCCTATAAAGTAGATAGGGCAGGATTATATTACTAGGTCCAGAGTAGTTCCTAAAGTGACATTTCTGTCTGATGATACCTATTATTGACATGAAGAACCCAAAGCTGGGGGAGGTTAAGTGATTTGCTCAAGTAAGTGGGAGAGCTGCAGCTCAGTCCCCTGTCGTCTCACTAAAAATTTAGGTTTTCAATTTTTTTAAACCACTAAGAGTACTGATGATTGATGCTGGAGGAGCAGATATCATTTTGGATGAAAGCAAGCAGGAAAGAACTACGAGAGGACTTTGGGGTAAACTTTTGTTTAAAAAACAGTCAAAGAAAGAAAAGAAGCAAATGAACGTGACCACATGACCCCCCTCAACCCCTCAGGAGGCTCAAGATCCTACAGGGATAATGGCCTGTCGTCCTTCATCTCCATGACAAAGCCCGTCTACCAAGGGCACAGTAGGTATCCACTACATTTGACTGGAGTAATAATGACAACAGACAACATATGGCAGGTCCTCAAATAATGTAAGTTTATTCAACGTTGTTTTGTTATAATGTTGATGAGAAAAAGAAAGGATTTCTAGCTGGGGCCACTGTATTTGCATGTTCTCCCCATGTCTGCAAGGATTTTCTTTGGGTACTCTGGTTTCCTTTCACATCTTTTTTTTTTTTTTTTTTTGAGACAGAGTTTTGCTCTTTTTGCCCAGGCTGGAGTGCAGTGGTTCTATGTCGGCTCACTGCAACCTCCGCCTCACAGGTTCAAGCAATTTTCCTGCCTCAGCCTCTCTAGGTGCTGGCATTACAGGCGTGAGTCACCGCACCCAGCCTCCTCTCACAACTTAAAGACATGCACGTTCAGTTCATAGGCTTCTTTACATGATACCAGTAGTTTTTCCTTTTTTTAAGAGATGGGATATCCGTCTATCACCCAGGCTGGAGTGCAGTGGCATAATCACAGCTTACTGCAGCCTCCAACTCCTGGACTCAAGCAATCTGCCTACCTCAGCCTCCTGAGTGGCTGAGACTGCAGGTGCGTACCACCATGCCCTGTTTTGTATTTATGGTAGAGATGGGGTTTCACCCTATTGCTCATGCTTGTCTCCAACTATGGGGTTCAAGCAATCCACCTGCCTCATGCCTCCCAAAGTGCTGGGACTACAGGCATGAACCACCACCCCCATCCTAAATGGCCCCAGTTTAAGCAAATGGGTGTGTGTGTGTGTGTGTGTGTGTGTGTGTGTGTGTGTGTGTGTGCGCGCGCGCATCTTGCAATAGAATGGCATCCTATCCAGGGATGGTTCCCACCTTTTGCTCAAGCTGAGCTGCTGGGATAGGCTTCCACTATCTGTGACCTTGAACTGGAATAAATGAGTTGGAAAAATGAATCCATGAAACAAATGACTGTAAAATAAAAATATGTAAGTGTACAATAATCATAAAAATGTATGACAATAAATGAGGTAGGAGAGCACTCAGCTCCCATATTTGTGATAGTTTTTAATCTCGTGGTAGCAGCAGGTCCTCCTGACAACTTTTTGCTTTTCAAACACTTATTTCTTGATTCAACCCAGCACCACAGCAACCATTATTCACTGATTCACCAGATATTTGGCAAAGCATTATCTTGTTTTTGTCAATCTTTAAAAAACGTAGGTGGGCCGGGTGCAGTGGCTGGCGTCTGTATTCTCAGCACTTTGAAAGGCTGAGGTGGGCAGATCTCTTGAGCCTGGGAGTTCAAGACTAGCCTGGGCAGCATGGTGAAACCCTATCTCTACCCAATAGAACTTAGCCAGGTTCATGCCTGTACTCTCAACTACTGGGGAGGCTGAGGTGGAAGAATCACCTGAGCCCGAGGAAGTAGAGCCTGCGCGGACTGTGATTGCACCACTGCACCCGCAGCCTGGGAGACAAAGCGATACCCTATTTCAAGGGAAAAAAAAATAAAAAGGCGGCATAGCTTACATTTATTTCATTGTTTAATATTAGGAGTGTTTTGAGTCTTTACTTTGAAGTTTGGTGATGTTTTTGTGACCAGAAATAATGCTGTAGGAACTTAACTCTTTTTTTAAATGTTAGCCTATGATAAATTTGGTTTTGTTATATGTTGTTTTGCTTAAGGCGATAGTTTCCAAGAACCTATTCAGTGAGGACTGGTGGGCTGGGTCAGAGTAAATACATTGTACAGGATGAAGACCGCGGGGACGACATGGGGGCAGCAGGGTTTTAGACATACTTGGAATGGCAGCTTTCTTTAGTAAGCCAGGTATTCTCATCATAATAAAGGGCTACATGTAGGTGTATCTGGAGGAAGACAGCGAACAGATTTCCATGGAAGGTGAATGCACTGGAAAACAGGCAGGGATGGCAAGGACCATGGTGATGGATTCCAAGTAGAAGATGCCCTTTGGGGCATGATTCCCCCGGTTAAGCCAAGGGCTCTAGATGAGGGTCCCAGGGTCCCGCCCTGGGCACGGAGTGGGGTGGCAGTGACAGCCCAGACTATTAGGTGGTAGTCTCCCTCTTGAATGACTCGAGGAGGCCCATATCGAGGGCCTCAAAGGCCCCACGGTGAACGGCACAAATGTATTAAGTTCATCTTAGGGACTGACCAGAAACGTGCCCAGGTCCTTCCCCTCGGTGCGGGGAAGCCCTGGTCTCCCTGCAGCATTTCGCACCTCGCTGGGTCTCCCGACTCGCGGCGTGGGCGAGCGCGGGTCCCTGAGCTTCCCTTCTTCGCCTGATCGACGCCTAGGGACTCCTCTCCCCAACCTCCCCGCTCTGCCCACCCTGTCCTCTCCCTCCTCGGGGAGCTGCAGGGGACGCCAGGCGGGGTCCCCAGGCTCTCCGCGCGCACCCCGCGGCCTCCTCCGCGGGCGGGGAGCGAACGTCCCGAGCTCTCCCGGGCACAGGGGACGGCCTGGCCACAGCGGAGCCGGGACGGGAGGGTGCAGCCTAACGGTCCGGCGGCCGCGCCCCGCGCCCCGCGCCCGGCGCCCCGCCCGCGGCGCCGCGGTCGCCTCCCGTCCTCCCGCCCCCTGCGTCATGACGCCGGCGCCCAACGCGGAAGCCGCTCGCGGAGCGCCAGGTCCAGCCGCGGGCTGAGCGCGGAGCCGCGGCGGGCGCGGGATCCGGGCCGGGGCGCGAGCCGAGCGCAGCCTGCCGGGCCGAGCGGGCGGAGCGAGCCGAGCGGGGCCGAGCGCGCCAGCGGCGGCAGCAGGCGGAGCGGAGCGCGGCACGCCGGGGCCGCCACCGGGGGGATGCGGCTACCTTCCCGGGCCGGGGTGTAGAGAGGGCGGGTCCCCGGCCTCGGGAGCGCGGTGGTGGAAGGGACGGAGGAGGCGGCCATGGCGACCCCCGGCAACCTAGGGTCCTCCGTCCTGGCGAGCAAAACCAAGACCAAGAAGAAGCACTTCGTAGCGCAGAAAGTGAAGCTGTTTCGGGCCAGCGACCCGCTGCTCAGCGTCCTGATGTGGGGGGTAAACCACTCGGTAAGGGCTTGGCTGCGGCGCGCGGTCCCCTTCCTCCTCCTCTTCTTCCTCCTCACTCCCCTCCTCCTCCGGCTGCAGCTGCTGCGGGGCGGGGAGCCCCAGCCTGCCCTGGCCCTCCGGCTGCTCGCCCGCCTCGGAGCCCCCAGCCCGGCGGCGCGCGCCCCCAAGCCCTCCCGGCCGCCCGGCCACCATTTGCGCCCCATTTAGACCTAGGGCCCGGGACGGGGGTCCCTTGTGCATGTGAGTCTCACGGTTGGTGCCAGTGCCCATGCCGCCCCCCGTTCGCCCTCCTGCCCGCGGGTCTGTCCCCGCAGCCTGGGAAGTGGTAAGTTTGTGCGGGGCACGGCGCCGCTTCGGCTGTCAGCCCCGGCGGGGGCTGCTGGGGGCCGAGTCTCGGCGACCGCTGCCTAGTGTGGGGGCGGCGCGGGGCCCGCGTCCTCCGCCGGCGGGCGGGTGTACCTGTCCCGGGCTGGGCGCGGGCGAGCCTCCCACGGGGGCACTGGGGCGAGGATACCGGAGAGCGAGCAGATTTGGGGCAGCAGCTTTAGTGCTTAGGTCGTCTCTTTTTCCTTTAAAGGCAACATTATTAGGCACAATTCGGCTTTTTGGCAAAGCAGCAGCCGATGTAAATATGGCTCTGGCGTCGGGCGACATCCCTGCGCCTCTCCCGCATCGCCCTGCCGCTGTGCGGGCTGGAGAGCCCTTGGCGGGGAGTCTTCCTCCCCTCGTCGCCTACTTTGGGGAGCCGGGCAGAAGTCACCGACTGCGGAAGGGTGGCCGGGGTGGAGACGGCAGGCAAGGGTCCCGGCGGGCTCGGGCGGAGGGGGTCCCGAGTTGGCCGCACCCGCTGTGGTGGGGGGGCGGTGGGAAATGCTGGAGGAGAACGCGTGGAAAGGTTAGCGTCACTCACAGTCGGGGGTTGGAGGATGCGCTGCTGCGGGCTATGCGGACTGCGGTTCGAGGGTCTGAAATAGCCTCCTGCTGATCTGACAGCGAGAAACTCCTGCAGTTTTAATCCAGTTAGATAGGATCTGGAAACATGATCGGAGCTGTTGGCTCAGCCAGGAAAGTTTAAATGAGCCTGTGAATTTTGACCGTGACCTTAGCCACTGCAGTCACTTAGCGCCTGGGAAAAGTGTAAGTCCGCTTCCCCTGCTTTTGATTTCGATGACTGTCTGTATGTCCTTTTCAGCGTAAAGGAAATGACAGAAAACCTTGTTGGTTTTAAAAAAAAAGAACACACTCTCAATGTAGTGAAGTTGTTTAAAATGCCTCAAAAGCATCGTTTTTGTATTTTTCTTCCCCAAGTTGAGCAGGGGGAAGGGCAAAACAGTATCAGGATCGATCATGTTTGTATGGAGTGTTTTTGAAAAACTTGAGAAATGATTATTTTTATCCAGCTTAATGACTGATTCACTGAAGTTCATTTTAACTTCCTGACAACTTCTTCAGCTATTTGGGAGTGCAAGTTGTTGCAAGAACATGCATTACCGCACCAAAAACTCCTCTCCAAGTTTTATTACAGAAAATGAAACGCTATTTTTCCTATGTAATAAGTTTACAATGTAGAGTTACATATAATTTTGGTAAGCTCTTTTATAATTTGTGTTACTAGTTTTGGGTCCCTTATTACTAGAATAGGAACATAATTTTTTTGAAAAAGGACGAATACTGTGGTGCTTAGCCATATTTATGGTGCCTTTATCTCCTTTGGAGTTCTGGTGTTTTGGTATGGAGAGTGTTTCTGTCTTGGGGTTTAATTTAGTAAGATAGTGTCAACAATATGCTGCCAAAAAAGAGTGTGCTTTCTGGGAACTAGTCTGGATTCCGGTTTGCCTTAGAAAATCTTGTTCATGTTTTACTGTAACCACTTAAGTTGCTACCTTATATTTATGAATTGCTACATTTGTTTTAGAGTTTCTTGCTAATTGGAAATATTTTGAAACTGCTTAAGTGTTTCATAGTGTATGACTTGTAAATAGTATATATTTGGGATTATTTTCTTTTGCTCTCTAGAAAAGTTTGCAATTTTAAGTATCCACAACCAGAGGAGTGAAGTTTCCATTTCATGTATATCAATGTAAGCATGTTATTCATTCAGCAGATACATTGTGCACATACAGTGTCAGCTACTATGGGAAGGATTGCTAAAACACCTGTAATATTTTTGTCCAAATGTCTTTATTTTGAGGACTCTGAGTTGACATAAGAAAGGTCTCTTTCACAGGCTTCTTTTTCAAAATGTCTATTTACTATGTTATTTTTGAAAAAAGAATGGATGTGTAATATAAACATGAAATCTAAACACTTAGATACCATGTATTTCTGGTTTGATTTCATTTTCGGTGACAATGTCTGATATTAGATAAATGTTTTATATGACCTTCTGTGCACCAAAGTTTTTAGTATAATCAGAGAATAAATACATCAACAGTCTGAAGAAACAAGCATAGTGTTGTATATGAGCATCTTCCACATACTGTGGTAAAACGCTCATTGGATCGGCGCTTTAAATCTTAAAGTCTAATTGTTGACCTTGGGCATGTTAAGGTTAGGTTTTTGCATCAGTGTTTGCACCTGTGAACTAGGGCTGTTTGGATGATTTCCAGGTGGTTTTCTAACTCAAGATTCTACTGTTTTTTCGGTCTATGAGGTGCACAGTGTTATACTAGGATTCGTAGAATACTTTATAATACAAGTTGCCTTACTATTATAGCCTTCCAAATGCAGCAACATTCAGGGAATTTTCAAGACTTTGACTAGATGGAAAGGAAATCTATGGTGATTTTAAGAGACTGTGAACCAAGAGTTTGTTATATTGAATGTAGCTGAACTGCATTGCAGTCTATTAAGCCAAAGTCGATTTGATTGAAATGTAACAACTTGCAATTAAGGTGAAAATGTTCAAGTCTTCTGAGGTGGTAATGAAAATCTTGATTTGGACAATAATCAGAGTTGGGAATAAGCCTGCCATTGTGTGGTTAATTTGAAATGTTACTGCTTTCTAACTTAAAATACCCATCAGTGAATGAATCATTGCCAATTTTTATTTTAAGTATTTTAAGCAAAGACTATAACTGAATACATAAAGGAAAAAGTGACTTAAGAAGGCAATTTTGTCTTGTTACATTTAGAATTAAACTAAAAATGATCAAGCAGTAAGCATCTTAAGATGATATTTTAATAGTGTGGGGAGCATGTTGAATGATACGAGCCAAGACGTGTTTTAAATAGATATTCTAAAAGACTTTTATACACAGTGCAATGTGAGCCTTTTAGAAATTAGTATTTTAAAACCTATATAAATATCCAAAGGAAAACATTATCTATATAGAGAAATCTGAAAGCACATAAAATTTGTTTAAAACAAATACAGTATTTAGAAGTGGCCAAGTATTGATGTTAGAGGCTTTTGGTTTAAAGCTGTAGAAGTTCAAATGAGCTTTGGCAAACATTTTGGGTATTGAGGGGTTTGGGGGACCTATCACAGTAGAAGGAAAGATTGGACAAAACCATGTGAAGAGCTAGGTGCTGGAGAGTATGGGTGTGTGAGTGCGTGAGACTTTTCTGTACACTTTGGCTCTGTTCTCCTTCATAGCTGACTGGTTTCCTCCACAGAGCAGGGAATGAAGGGCTCCTGTATTTCACATTTTGTCATTTCTGCTCCCCGAAAGGGCTTCCTGTTTCTAATTTAGTTATAAAAATCCCATGGAAGGATTCCACTTGAGATTGGTCTAGCTTTGGTCATTTGTGGCCATCCCTTGGACTAAGTAGTTATAAAAACATGGCAGTGCCTGCCTGTTGGCCTTGGGGAAAGAACAGTCCCCTGAGAGGGGAAAGGGCCTGCCAGGCAGTGTCAGACAGGTCTCTGTCCTGCTAATAGAGCTGGATGCTTCTGGATGTCTTTGGGTACTTCCCATGGGCATCTGTAAGGGCCAGCCTGATGAATGCCGTGTGCTGTGGTGTGTGGATTGGAGAATTTGTGGTGTCCCTGGTGGAGCGTCAGTAGCTTTGATTATTTTCTCCACAGGCTCTGGGACTTGGAATAAAGACCATATTGGGCACATCATAATTTTTTGTTTAGGTTCATGGGTTTTTATTTGGGCACTGAAAAAAGATAAGGAAACTAAGGACCTTGACTTAATAGGATATAATAAAGCAATTAGATTAGAGTTATCTAGACATTAGATGAAATTCTTGAGTGGAACCCAGCTACCATTCATTCAAGAACTAGTCTCCTCACACTATTTTTTTGTTCTTTTTAACCTTCAAAGGAAAGAAACACACCAGGTGGACATACAGAAAGTTTATTAGGGAAGTTGTTTCATACTCCCTAAAAGTTGGGATTATATCCAGAGAACAGAATACATTTCCTCTCCATTTATTAGATACTTTAGAGTGAACTTTAAGTATTTATTCTTAGTGAACCCTAAGTATTTATACTTACTACTTAGTGTTACTTAGTACTTAGAGTTACTAAACTTCATTACTCAGAATGATGCCCTATGTCAGGTCAATGATTTCTCTTTCCAGGTATCTTGATCTGCTGTGCTTTTAGAAAGGTTGCCAGCAAGAATTATAATAAACCACCAAATCTACCTTAAGTTGATTAGAAAATGCAGTCAGCCAGGGTAATTAATTCTGCTAGCATAGCCTTTGAAATACAAATTTTGGAATTGAAGGGAATTGGTGCAATTTGGCAAAAATGGTTTGTAGTTGGACAGATGAGGTTCATATGCTGACTTTGGCATTGATGGGATCTTTGAGCAGGTGATTTAGTCACTTGAGTCTCAATTTACATATTTTTAAAATGGAGATAATGAGGATGACCTCACAGGGTTGAGGGTTAAATGAGATACTGTATTTAAGGCCTAGCACTGTAATTAGCACATCATAAGCATTCAGTAAATGATGCCTAAAGGTAATAAAGTTCAAATGCAGTTAGGATAGTGATATATTAAAAGAACCAGATCCCTGTTTCTCAAAATTTAAGGGGCATA